CTACCCTTCCCACAAAAAGTCCCCAAGAAAAAAATCTGGCTCGAAGTACAGACTCTAGAGGTTTGTTTGGACATCTCCCACCCTGTGTAAATCAACATTTTAATGAGTTAAGTGCACATGAATCAGAAACACAAGGGTCACATTTCCTCTGAAATACTTGGGGGTGGGGTGCAAAATGTACTCCAAACTTGGCCTAATCTAAAATCAGGAGGCGAGCCAGGCCCTTGTCAAGTCTCCCTTGTCCTGATGCTTGGACCAGCAGCCAGGAATGGCTCTCTGTGGCCCTCAGCCAGGACGGGGCCGGAGCAGCTGGTGGGGGTGGCAGCCCTGAATTCCTGTGGCCAGCAGAGACCTGTATGGGCCACACCTGGCTGGGATCATGGATATCAAGGACACTGGCGGTCAGGCAGAGTGGGAGGCAGATGAGAATGGCAAACAAGGAAAGAGTCTGACAAGGAAATTTCAGTAGGAAATAGGCAATTACATGAGAAGAAACACTCCTGATGCCGTGCACAATCATCTGAACACATGACAGGGGTTGTTAAAACAATAGTCACAAACTAAAAGCTGGAGTGTCTTGTATCTTGAGAAAAAATAGACTTCCTGGGGTGAAGCCACAGCCCTGTCCCTATGATGTGTGTGACTGTGTGTGTGTGGGTGTGTGTGTGTGCACACACCCACATGCTGCATGCACCTTTTTAAACACATGAGTTTTGATTTAGAAGCTGGATCTCTTTCCCCTGCAGTTGGATCTACTTCTGCACAAACACATTTCCATCCCCCAGGCAGTGAGGAAATAGTGAACCAGACAAGAAGAGAGGTTTCTCTCAGGACCTGCTGAGCTGCAGTCTGAAGACTGCTGGAAAACGTGTAGCCCGGGAGGGAAGGCCGTGCCTCAGCACGGAGCCTGCTATCCAGCTCATGGCAGAAGTTAGGGCCACAGTGAAGCGTCTAGGAAGGAAAGATTCTGCCGGGACCCAAACTGAGCAGAACACACCAGCTGCCTTTCTTCTCCCCAAGATCCATGGCATAGGGAAACAAGGTCCTAGGGTTTGGAGGACGAGTTGAATGGAAATAAATGTGAGTCTATGGACCCTGATGGACATCTAAGCTGTCTCCGCTGAGGTATGTCATCATCATGGATCCCCAGCCTCCATACCATTCATAGCTGTCAGTCAGGCCCAGCACCACTGGAAGGAGGCATCCAAACCCCAGAGATCACCCGAGAGACTATGACAGGATGCAGGGGGGTTGCACGTGGCGGTGGCTGGCGGGTGAGGAGCCGTGCTGTTATAGGCTGGAGACTATTTTTTCTCTCGCCAACTACTTGCTGCCACCTCCTCTTTTTATTCCTCTTCTACAGAAACCCTTGGGCTTTCCCCAGTCCTCGCCCAAGTCAAAGCCTGATTTGCTGTGCCAGAGGGAGGCATTGCTGCTAAAAGTCACTGAGTGAGCCGCCACAACTAGCAGCCAGGTTTAGATTCCCAATAGGTTCATGCTGGCCTTGAGAGGGAGCACTGACCCCTGATGAATCCAGTTAATTCTGTGGCACCCACTCTTTCTGTCCCTGGGCCACATTGTGAAATAACTACTTGGGTCTTGGCATGCAGTCCTCCTATCCTTTCAGATGATGGGTTCAATCATTTAGGCAAAAAGGCGGTCACCCAGACCTGCATGAAGTCTCCACAGAACTAGGCAGCAGAATGAAAACTGAGGCCCTTAAGCCACCCTCTTCGGCTTCCTGTCCATTCAATGGTATAAATAGTGACTGTGGATGCTCATGTAAGTCATTAAAGAATCCGACAGGGATGAGATAATGGGTAAAGCACTTCAGAAGGATCTCCTGTTTTCCTTCTAATTATCTCTCTTGGAAGAACTCTAATGGTGCTTCTGGGTTGTGACTGTTTCTTAACCTTAAAGTCCTAGACCCAGGGTTTTCAGAAAAGCTGTGGCTCTACACCCCACTGGTTATCTGATGGAAGGCTTTCTAAAGGCTCTGGACCGCATCTGGCCCCCCAAAGGATAGGCTCCCTGAAGGCACAGGGCATTAGGTCCTGGACTTGGGGAGAGGGTAGTAAGAACTTTCCTGGAACTTACAGCTGCCCACAGCGGAGCTCAGCTGAAATCCCCAGACCAGGTCCATGAGAATTCTGAATTTCTCACTGCCAGCCCCCATCCACCAATCCTGGTGCTCAGGTGATAGGAAGGTCATCCTAATTAAAACCAGGTGGCAGGGTTTCAGCTGTGAAAAACTGCTAGATCCTCTTTCTTCCCTCCTCCTGTTTCTCTCCTTAAACACACACATACAACTTTCTCTCCATTTAAGCAAGCAGCTCTCTCTATGATTAAGTGCAGCCCCTTCTTATCTAAATAGTCCACAGATGTACAAAGATGTGGGAGCTTTCTGCCCCTATTTGGAACTTGTTCTGGTACCCATCTTCTCCAAACCTACAAAAAGCTTTACTGGACCTTTGCTGACAGAAATTCCTACTGCCTACTCCCCCAGTAAATCAGCACCGCTTGCCAGGCTGTACTCAACTTATCAAAGAGGTGGGATTTCCCCTCCAAAGACTTTAGTCACCCCATTTTGCTTGGCCCCTTCCATAACCTGAGTTTGAAACTGCCCAGATGCGAATAAATGGAATGTGAGAAGTCCCAATTCTGTTGTCAGATTCCTATATTCCTTTACCTGTGCAGGTAAATGCCACCAGCTGGTTTATTCTACCTAGCTGGGGCTAGGGAAGTCTGGAAAAGGACAGAGTTTGGAATGTTAATTAGATGTACAGGGAAGCCAAAAAAAAAAAAAAAGATCTGTGAGTTTCCAAAATATGTAGAGTCTCAAGGAGAAGAGGCAAGCCTAAGGCGTTGGAATCTAGGGCTGGGAGTGTAAATTAGAGCTGGATGCTTGTCCAGCACTAAATGAAATCCAAGGCTAGAGGTATAGCTCAGTGGTCCCCGCTCAGCAAGCTCAAGGACCTGGCTTCAAAGATTACCCCCTAACTTTGGGTTTATACTGGCTCCAACTCACTGGCTTGATTTTCTCTTCAAATCAAAGCATGGTTCATATTTTGAGTCTCTGGTAGATGGGCTCTGTATCCAGCTGCCAAGGACGGCATTATTACAACAGGGCAAGGACACCACAGAGCCCGTTAGAGCGTTCCCACCCATGAGTACTGAGCAGATCAGCAGCTCTCAACCTCACCCGGGGCTCATCAGAAATTCAGAAATACCTCTCCTGGGCCCAGTGAATTGGAATCTGCATTTTAATACTAGTCCCTAAATGACTTGTGTATGTATTGATGTCTGAGAAGCACTCTTTGGAGAGTCAAATGTATCCAACTATACAGGAAAGAGTAAAGCATTATCCCCTCCCCTTCATAACTTCATTTGACAAATACCCAGTAAGAATAACTCACAGAATTTTGCACAGGGTTGAGGTAATATGATGGTGGATAGGAGGCAAAGGAACATACCAAAATAGTCTGCATCTCATCCTCAAACTACATTTGTCCTGTTAGAATATTTTGCAAAGTAAGGTGTGTGAACAGGGAACCTGAAAAACCTAAGCGCAGTTGTTAAAAGCTCAAGGTCTAGGGCCCTTTGCAAACTTTCCTGATCAGGATCCTCAGTGTGGAAGCTGAGAACTGAATATGTGTAGTGATCTACACATGCATATACACATCCTGTTTTCCTATGGTTTCTGTTAATGGCTGCTGAAGCTTTCTCTTCCTCTGGAGCAAATGTGTATTGCTGGACCCATTGTGGGGAGCCAGCCTTGGAAGTTAAGACCAACCTACCTTGGAAGGCACTGTGGACATCTCTTACTGCTCCTTGGTAGGGAAGTGCCTGTGAGGTTCACCAAAGGGGATGCACAGGGCAACTTAAGGCTGCTGGCATCCGTAAGCACAAGGCCAAGCAGCCCTGGCTCTTGGGCACCCTAAACTCCAGTACAAATTCATGAGCTGGAGCTGACTGAGATGCCTTTGCACATACTTCATTATCCTTATGTAGATTTTTAAAAAGAAAAAAATTCAAAGAAACAGTGGGAAATGATGAATCGTGGTGGTGGGGCTTCAGTGGGGGTGACAATCAATCCATAGCCAGCCTAAAAATTTTTTTGCCATACTAACCACAGGGGAACTAAAAGGAAATGCCAATATTTCACTTGGCTGGTGTGGCATCTCACTATTGCTCAGGCAGGTAGAGCAGTATGTGGAAGTCCGTGCCAGAGCATGACTTCAATAGACCCTTCCGGGTTATCATATTTTGGGTGCTTTGGGGATATTTACTCACTTTAGAGGAACACTGCTAGTTTCTCAGGTTCAGAGGTGCTTTATTAATCAGGGAACTGAGTTGATGAAGTTATCAAAACTAAATATCGATAGGAGAATTCCTCGGGCAAGACACCAGTAGCCTAACAGGAAGCAACCCTGGCACTGCAGAGCACACCTCTCAGTGTCAAAGGGAAGGCTGGTAGGTAACATCTGCCTCCAGGGCTGCAGCTGGGGGTCTCTTGGGAAGTCCTTGCTGTGTCACATCTTAGACTCCTTGTCTATAAAGCATGAAGATGCAGACTTCTTCAAGGTCTCAGACAGGTCCAAGCTCCAGAAACTAAAGAGTTGCTGTGTTCAAGATGCTAATTTGAACCTTGAGTTGGGCCAGAGGGGAAAGAGCATCTGAAACCAGAAACATGGAAAAGGAACTTGGACAGGGCTGAAAACAACATTCTTGTAGATCAAGTATTTAGCCTTCTCTCTGATCTGAAACACACCAGGAGAAACACTTCAGGCAGCTCTTCATAGAGCAGATGGTAAACAGAGAGGGAGGTTGGGGAATCTGGGGTCCTCTTGGGTCCTCCCACCCCTGTCACCCAGTCACCATGTGTACACTATTCAGTGGGAGCCAGAAGACACCACCAAAACAACTCAGGTGGGGTGCTGGGTGGACGAGGGTGATGGTGGATGGTGGATGGGGGCAGCGAGTCACAACTCACACTATCATTGATCAATTGAGTGATTTTAGTCAAGTGAATACATGGCAGGAAAAGCATGGAAATAAAATGAACACATATGGGAATTACTATTAACATAAGTGATAACATCAAAACATCTGGTAAAATGCAGTTAAAAAAACAACACAAATGAAATGGAATGTAAAACATTTTCACAGTATTCAAAGCTTTTGTACAAGACTGAAACTCTAAAACAAGAGTGAGTTACTATATGAAGGAACGAGAGGAAATGGGAATTTCACCCATGTCCTGTGTATCTGCTGGTGACAGGTCAGGGCAGCCGGGCTGTCATTCCAGGGACGTTTCCTAAGGTATGCTTCCCAAGCAGACCATCTGCGCTCAACACATCTACCGAGCCATAGCACGGCAGCCAGTCGTAGAGTCTGATGGGATAAACAGATCCTAGGCTTGGGGAATGGAATCTGTGTAATTTATAGATCCAAATGGAAACTGGGGCTCTGACTGGCTTCTGCCCTGGGGAGAACTTGGTGCTAATCCACCAATACCAAGAGCCAAGTGTTACACGGGATAGTTTAAAAATAAAGTGTTCTTGGAATTTTCACCTCCTACTCTATCTTCTAAGATAACTACTAATATTCTTCAAAGATTTGGTGGAGTTCTGCCAGTGGCCTCATATAGAACTCTTTCCAGAATGATTATTTTAAAGCTTTGCAAATCCAACATTTGCACTATCAAAAATTATCACATCACGTATGGATCTCCTCTTGGAAACTAAAGACTAAGCCAATGAGTCTGCACATTGGTTTTGTTATATCCTTTGTTAAGAACAACAAAAGTTGGTGATAATGTGGCTTTGGGCTCTTTTCATCCTGAAATTTCTGATGTGGTAGGGACAGAGCTGGTGTCTAAAGTTATCACTGAAGGACACAGTGAAACTTAATAGCCAATGACCCTGAGGCTGGGATGAAACCTGCAGCTGTAACTCTCATTTCCAAAGTCGTGGGGCCCTTGCTGAAACTGCTGCTTCCTGCTGAGGATTCCCACTCAAAGAGCTGCACAGCACGGCCAGCCGTTCCCACGCTCCTTCTGTGACAACTGCTACTCTACACCCTCTCTTCTGGTCCCTGCTGTATAGACGAGGGCCCTGCTGCAGAATGCATTTTCTTAAGATTAGCCGATATGCATCAGCACTGAACTCTTGACTTAACTGACCAAAGCTAAGGCCCAACCCTATGAAGTCATGAGACTGCATCTCAGCTGGACAGCAGGGAAGTAGAATACATCTAATTACTAAATACATATACACATTTAAAATCATCTAAAATAACAGGTAAGCCATAGAGGATCCCCAATACTTTATAATTAAATGTCTGAGAGGACTAAAAAGGTGTTAAAATGATGGAATTGCTAACTGTGAGCAGTCAATTACATCAGGATAGCTCTCAGATAGGTAACTAAATCGGTGTGATTTCCAGACAAATATCTCAAGTTAACAGAATCTTCCCTTACTTCTGTGTAAGTCCAGGGCCACAGGGGGATACCTAACAGCCTCACTGCCACACCCGAATGAGGTCTCAACACTCCCCCAGGAGAACAATTGCTAAGGCCCTTGAGATGTGGTAGAAAATAAAAAATCAGGCTTTGATGGAAGACATTAACATTAATTCTTTAGAACACTTCCTCTATATTGGACAAAAGGAGCAAAGTTGTCTAAGAGAACTTGTTTATTTACATTACTTCTTAAGCATAATGGCTTTGCAGAATATCTGCAGGCAGTTGGGAAAGCCACAGATACAGTTACCTTCAAACTCTCTTCTTGGATAGGACCCCTGTGTCCATTTTCCCACTGCAGACATGGAAAACTAAAAAGTGGAGGGGGTCAGGCAGGCAGGATACTCTGAGTCTCTAATCTGTGGGCAACCAAGCTAAAAGGAATTGGCTTCTTCAGAGGGAACCACAGACGGGAAGCGCTGCGAAATTGTCCTAGTGCTACCAGCTCCAGGGCGCCTGAGCACTCCTCAGAAAGGAAGGTCCAAGCTGTGCTGTGCTGCTGGATGAATCCACCTCCTCTAAAAATGCCCAGGGTGGCAGGAGGGCTGTCCCCCACAGGAGCAGCCAGAAGTGGATCAAGAGACCTTGGTTTTGGTTTGCCCTTCAAATATTCAAAGCAGACTTTTTTTAAACCGTGGGAAGTAAGTGGGTTTTCATCTTGCTGTTGTTCTTTTAAAAATGTGAAATGAATAAACAAATGCAATTAGAATACAAAGCTCTTCACCCAATTTCACAATTCATCCCAGCTAATAATTTGCTCCACTGTTCTAATTTTTTAAGATTCTTTTTTGTTTTCTAACTGTCTTTGGAAAACTACTAACCATTGCTTCCTCATCCTGAAAGTGCTCCTGTCCCTCCTGCCCTCTGTGTTCCTCCTTCTTTGCAGCCCTTTAAGTATCTGCAGGGAGGTCACACACAGGGCTGACAGGAGCCACCATGACCCACGCATGGGGCCTGAGGGCTCAGCAGGCAGTGACCTCCTGCTGCGTGTGCGCTCCAAATCCCTGCACCTGTTACTTTCTGAACTGATCTAAATAAGCATGGGTGCGTCTGTTCCTATCTAACACAGACAGAAAGAGAAATTACTCTGAAACTGAAAGTGACAGGATTCACCAATAGTTAGAACGTGCTAGTTCCAAAGGCACAAGTGAGCCAACAGATCCACAAGCAATTTGCAGCAACACTGAGATGATGTGGAACTTAGTTTGTGATGCCCAAGCCCTCTTTTCTGAGAATGGGACTTCTCCAGAAACTTTGTCTTTTAGTGACTGCATCTCTGGGGGCAATGGCTCTGCCCCTCTTTGCACTGTGCCCGCCATGCCCTGCTGCCGCTGTCCAAAACCTTCCTAAATCAAGTGGCCTTCCTTACCTGACCTGACTATACTGGGGTGGGGGTGGGGGTGAGATGGGAGGAAGGGGCTGGGGTGGGAAAGCTGTGAGAACAAAACCAGCTGATTACAGTGCCCACACCCACTGCACCAGCAGGAGCAGTGTGTGTGACCACGGGCTACCCCCCTCGCCCCACCCACACTGCTCCCTACCCGCCCACTCCTGGGAATCACTTAAAAACTGACTGAAAAGTGGGGCACTCATGGTTCTTCATCTTCTTCATGAAGTTTTTGAACTCTTTGTTCTTCTTGTCCCACTTGTGAATAGCTGTGAGCAGATACTGGCCCTTCACCTTCCGGCCCATGATGAGGAAGTGGGGACTCAGGTTATCCAGCTGGTGGCATGGGCAGTCGGCCCCGTTCTTCAGGAATAGCACCAACCTCTTCAGGTCCTTCTTTTTGATGGGTCCCAACTTCAGGGGCTTCTTCTTCTTAGGGACAATCTTCTTGTCACCATTTTCTTTTTTCACTTCTTTTATTTTCATCCTCAGGGCTGGAGAGGTGAGGGAAGAGAAGGAGAGAAGGGGAGGTGAGAAACAGCATTTTAGGATACAGCTTTCCATCTGAAACACGATCTGCTCCTCTGGCTGAAGTAGACAATCACAGGCATGGAGGTGGCAAGTGCCAGAGGGAGGGAGCTGCCTGCACAAGATGCTGAGGTCTGGGGAACTCATAGCCCTGCTGTTTCTGCAGTGTCTAACAGCACCTCAGGAATCACCACGGATTCTCAAAACCAAATCATATTTCTCTTTCATAAGACTCAGTGATGCAGAATATCACTTAGACTGCCTTAGAAGGAGCAGGTCTGACCAATTTAGTCCATCATCTCAGGCTAGAGATCCTAGAATTCAAAGAAAAAAAAAAAAAACACAACCCTGGTATTTTTTTAAAGAGAAAGTTAGTGGTTTAGTTTTTAAACATTCAAACTTCTTTGAGAGTTGGGCCCCACGGACAAGGCAAACTCGGTGAGGGAACATCCTGGAGGACTTGCAACTGCCTCACCTGGGTGCTCAGAACAGCACTGTGCAGCCTCAGCCTGGGGAGCTCCAAGCACTGTGTCCCCAGGACACTGGACAGCAGGGAGTGCGAATGCTATCAGCACTTAGCTACTGGCCACCAACAGGGCTATTAGCTATGGAGACCTACGCAGAATCCAACTTTCTGACCTGTCAGAGCAAGTCATAATAGCTATGTCCAGGTGATGACCATTCTTCAGGTCTAATATGGTGCAAAGGCTGCTTCTGTTAGCACTACCCCACTGGATAGAGCAAACCAATGCATCCATTACCTCTGCTTCTACTTTTCTCTACAGACTCTGCATTAACCTTTTTTTCCCAGTGCTGGGGATCGAACCCAAGCCTTACATATACTAAGTAAATGCCCTACCCTTGAGCCATACCTCAGCCGTCAACATTACTTTTAAGTTGTAGACCAGATCCTCCGGTGATGGCCTCACAGGGTCTACTGATAAAGACAAATTAGTGTGGAGGAACACAAGCAAATAGATAGTGTTGCAACTATCACTGATCTTCCTCTAGGATGGGTCAATTCCAGATATTTGGGAATTGCAAGTCATTTTCTAGATGCCCATTACCAAAAAAGTTGTACACTATCTCTGAATTCCTCTGAATTAAAAATTACCAACCCCTCTTTTTAATAACTCAGGGCTTCCATCCACGCTACATGAGGAAACTCTTGAATTTGAACCACATAATAATAGCTAACAATTATGAAAGCTTATGGCATGCCAATAAGTCTGCAAAATACTTTTCCACGCATCTTCTCAATTCATTTTAGTAACTCCATGAGAAAGATATGATTAATTTCTCCATCTAACAGATGAGAAAACTGAGCTTTACAGAGTTAAGCAGATTTTTCCCAGGTTATTAATCCTAAACCCACATGTGTGAGTCAGCTGTCCATTACTATAACAAATACCAAGGTAAGTAAACTTATAAGGAAGAAAGGTTTATTTTGGCTCACAGTTTCATTCCATGATTGACTGCCCTGTCACTTTGGGCCTGTGGAGAGGCAAGACATCATGGTTGGAGCACATGCTAGAACAAGCTGCTCAGCTCAAAGCAGCTGGAAAGCAGAGAGATGAAAAGAAGAGGGGCCAGGGAACCATTATCCTCTTTGAGGTCACATTCCCAGTGACCTAAATTCCTCTTACCAGGCCCCACCTCCAAAAGACTCCATCACCTCCCACTCACTGGGAATCATGCTTTAACAGTGGGCTCTTCAGGGGACACTTCTCCAAACCCTAACACCACATCTGACTGTGCCTTTCTAATCATTATGTTGTTCTTGCTGACTATGTAGTTCCAGAATTGTTTACAATGTACCCCAAACTTAAAGCATTCAATGAATGGACCAAGGAAATAAGGGGGAGAAACTCAGACCCTCTTCCCAGTTTCACCCACATTTAAAGATGACTTTTCTCATGAAGTGGGAAAGGCTTCCTGGCACCAAAAGAGACTACTCTAGCAAAGGCAAAACTGCAGTGCAAAGCCTTTGTATCTGATATTCAGTTGTTTAGAAAACCGTGGTTTTGGCTAACCCACAAGTAAAGAAGAAGGCAAAATCCTAGGAGCAACCTTTAATGAATGTGTCAAAGTTACTAAATTAAACACTCTTCTAAGTCACTAAATTAAATATTCTCCTATTATTTTTGTTTTCTGATGAAAGGAGGCCCAGATCCTAAAGCCTACTTAACTCAAGCTCTATACAATATCCCAGGCCGGACAAGTGGCTCACCCCAAGAGTTGCAGAAAGGTCAAAACTGAGCACCAATGTGCTCCTGGGGGATCAGCACTGACGTAGGGGGCTCCAGCATGTGTGGGAGTGGACAAGCACAGTTTCTCAAGTAGCTCCATTTGTCAAGCTCTCTCCCCACCTTGAGGTGGCCATGGCCATGCTCTGATTATGTTTGATGGCTACACCCATGAGCGTGAGAGCAGAGGGAACCACAGCCTGGAGGGCAGGGAGGAGAAAGCTGTAGGGACCTCCCTTGTGTGTCTCACCAAGATGTGCTCTAAGCAGCCCACACCTGCTTCAGCTTCCACAGTTGCCTGACAAACCTTGAACCTAGAGGTTCACTGAGAAAAGTCTTTCCCTTTTCTAGTGCATGGCTTGATGAATAAGAGAAGTTCTCAGTGGGTTCAAAGAGGAACCAGAAAAGAGACACATTGCTAGGCCAAGGCAAAGTCAAGTCTTCCTTCTGCCTCCTCTCTGCAATGCAGAGCAAATCGGAGTGGGGGAAACCACTTACTGTAGTTTGGATCCTAAGTGTCCCCTAAGGCCCATGTGTCAAAGACCTGATCCCTGAGTGACACCACTGGGAAGTGATGGAACCTTCATGAGGTACAGCCTCATAGGAGGTCTCTCAGCCATAGAGTGTGCTCCAGAAGGGGACTATGGGACTCTGGCCCCTTCCTCCTTTCAGCTCCTTGACCAGGAAGTGAACAGTTTACTCTACCACATTCTCTGACCACAATATGCTGATTTGCTCAAAGGTATGGGCCAAGTGATCAGGCACTGGAGTCTCCAAAACTGTGAGCCAAAATAAACTTTTTCTCTTTATAACTTGATTATCTCAGGTATTTGTGGCAGTGACAAAAATCTGACTTAACACTCTGCAAAGGAAGGCTGCAAGGAGTTCTGCACGGGAGCAAGGGCATGAAAACAACTTCTCTCATCTTATAAGACTCTACAAAAAGGGGCCCAGGCTATTAGAAAAGTCCCCAGTTACTACCCAAAGCCAACAGCTTTGAGCACAACATTGCTACAGGAGTGATCAAGCGCATCACCAGGGAGACTCAGGGACACTCCTTTCTGCAGAGAAGTGAGTCAACATTTCCTGAGTGTCCACCCGTGCTGGCCTCTAAAACTGCTATCTATAGATGACAGGTGCTACATATCGTTCTCTGTTTGCTACCCACAACAATCATGTTAAGTAGACATAACTGTTATTTTATTAAAATCAAGGAAAAGGAGCCAATCTAAATAATGACAGCACAAGGCAACAATTTATAAGAGACATGATCAGGATTAGAAGCCACATCTTAACCCATAGCCCATGTTCTCTCTTCCCATACCATCACTCAGTGTAAAATGATATTGCTTCGGTGGAAACTATTTCACTCTTTTGATTGTGTTGCTTTTAATCACCACTCAAATCAAGAATTAGTGCTCCTTTGCCATGACCACGTAAAGGAATTTAGTTTACATGAGGAGGGGTGCAAGGGGAGAGGGGAAAATTGATGGAAATGTGTTATGCATTAGACTCTACTTCTTTCCATTTGGCGTACTTTCTTTTCTGAGGTGGGGAGAGTAGGGAAGAAGGTACATATGGCCAGAAATTGCTAACATCTTTCCATCTTTCAAGGTTTATTTTAGGGATGCAGATTACAATGGTTAGATAAGTGGTTACCTGTCTAAGATTGATTTCTCCCTGCCTTGTGGATGGGTATGCAGCCCCACCATGCTGTGTAGGGGCTGCTGGCCCCAGAACAGCCAGGGACTCTCCCTCTTCCACCACACTAATGTGCCACCCCAGGGGTTTCATCCATGGCTGGGTACACAACACAATGCTGGTAGAACTCAAAGAGGAAAAGACCCAGAAGGCAGCTGCAGGGGCAACAGAGTACCGGCCCTGGGTGCTGTATGACCTCCAGCCCCAGTCTCCCATCTATAAAGGATACAGCATGGCCTGGCTGCTGTCTGGCAGACTTGCCATTCAGAGGGCCTATGCTGGCAAACTGGGAGCAGTTTGTCTCCAGTTGTCTCCAGCCAAGTTCTCTACCTTGGACTCTTCTTCACCCCGACAGAGAGCACTACACGTCTAGACTGTATCTCAGCTATCTGTAGCAACTAGACCCTCTACTGAAACATGGCAAGACAAAACACAAACAAAACAATTTGTTTTTCTGAGTAACAATTTAATGTCCCACAAGGATAGTACATTACTCCCACCTATGCATTACTGCCAGCAAGAATTCAGAGACCCATAAACTTTGAAAACCCAAAACCTGAGGCTGCAATTAGGGTCTCTGGGTCTTTCTCAGCAATCTTAAAACAAATAATCCCCTATGTTTGAGTAGACCATTAAAGTTTCATTCCATTTTTGGTCACTCAAACCACATTTCTGCTCACAAATTATGCTTCCTTGATAGCTTCCCCATGAAGATTGGCCATATTCCTGAGGCTGAAATGAGAATCAGAAAATCATTATGCCCACCCCAAGCCTACACTTTTGTCAAAACCATCTTTTCCTCCTGACCTTCCTGGTGGTACTAATGATGCCACTGTTCCTCCAGTGCCTTAGACATAGTGCTTGGGTGAAAGACAACCACAGGCCAAGGACCAACCACCTGTGCAATCAACCTATTCATAGGTGCATTGGACCAACCACCTATACACCTATGAAATTGCTGAAATTGGGATCTGACAGGAAAAGTGAGAATAGGGCTGAGTCAGGAACCCATTTGACTA